GGCATTAAAACCATTTAGGTTTCTTTTCTCTAAGAATAAAGTACTGTTGACAGAAAGTTTTACAAATGCTGGGAAAATTATTGTTGGAACCAACTCAAAAGATGATCAGCTGCAAAGCAGAAAGTATGAAAGGTGAAAATAAAGGACAACACCCTAGAGACTAAAAATTGATTGGGAATTCACCTGGAAAGCACACAAGTGACAACTGGAATCCAAAGATCTTGAATCTATGGACAGCTGGAGGAACCACCAGAAAAAGACATGTGTAAGCAGCTTCCCTACTACTTTACCTCTAGTGGGGAAAGGGTTTTGACAGATTGCAGTGGGCTTGGCTTACTTTGGATAAAGAACTGCAAGCTCTGGATACACTGGCACAGGAACTCTCCAGCAGCTGGGACCCCATCACTGACTCTCCACTTATCTTTAGGGTCTAGTGTTGGGTGGCAGGTGGATGAGAGAAGACAGCATGGCTCCAGCAGCCACTGCCTCTCCTTTCATCAGCCTTGTCAGCTCTGCTCTTTCTTTCAGTTCCCATGCCTGTTCCACCTGCCTTCTCCTGAATGTGTCTCCACTTCCCTTCCCTGGAACTCTCAGGCAATGTGCTTTGAGGACTGACTTCCTTTCCAACTCCTTACAGAGGCCCCGTACTTCTGGCAGTGGTATATAGAGCCCTCTTTTCATCACTCAATAGCCCACTGTTTATAAGCAAGCAGTTAAGAGTATACCTTTGCAGCCTCTTTGAATCCAACATGGGTCTTTCCTGAATCCAGTTGCCTTCAAATGCCATCTTTGTCTCAGATACCAAAACCACTATGCCCACTCAACTCTTTTCTGCTCCTGGTAGATTCAGAACAGAAAATATTTAGGGCTTTTGGTTTGGGTATTTGTGTTGAGGGGGAATGTCCTCAGATGAGTGTGCTGGATTCCCAGTGGGTAGCAGAGGCTATGCATGATGTCATCACAGTGTAGCTGGGAGCAGGGGTAAAAAAAAGGAAGTCTCCCTCCTTCCAGTGCTAATGAGTTGTTAGATTGGCTCAATCAAGCTCAGGACACCACAACCTGAGTTAAGCTTCCTCAGGCCCTGGTTTCGATGACCCTATTGCTGGAGAGAAAAGAACAGCAGATTCCCTGCTCTGATAGGTTTGTTACAAGGATTACTGAAATTCCTTTTGAGGTTGCCTGCAGCTGCTAAGCAGCAATAGCCAGGAATAGCATATGCCTGTGCCCCCTAAGAGCATCACAGTTTAGTTAATGTTGGTATTAAGTGGAGCATTGTATGTTAAATGGTACTCACATACTCAGAATGTTTTTCTGTCTTATACCTACTTCAAACCAAAGCATATTTTCTCGTATCCACATCCAAGCTCTGTGAATAAACAATATTTCTCTTAGCCATATTTGCTGCAATGTGATTTGGTTTTGTTCTGTGAATTTACATTTAAGAATGACTTTTCTGATTAATCAGTCCTTTGCATACTTTATATATGGAAAACTAAAAATACACTAAAACAGTACATGTGAATAAAAACCACATTAAAATTCATAAATCGCTACCATTCAATTTACTTCTCTTTACTATATCATCAGCTAATCAAACATAGCAGTATTCATGGAGGATATCTTCCTCAATTTTTCTTTGTAGGCCTCAGAAACGTAGGTTTTCCCTCTGCAGAACAGGGTTTCCAAAGAAAAATACTATAAACCAGAGGATACTTGCAGACTCAGGAGAGAGCAGAAAATAATTCAAATTTCCCTGCCCCCAACATCCACATAGACCTTGAAATTACCATTTCATATGCCCCAAAGAAAGTCTGTATGTGATGCATTATATTACATACACCTCCACATTAATTTCAAAGCTGCTGGTGTTTAAGAGAAGGTGACTGCCTAAGCAGAAACCTTCCCAGAATTCAATTTGTCTTCTGTATCTATCTTAAAAATTATAGCTCCAAAGTACAAAACCCTTAATCTCCAAAGATTTGAGAAAAACCTTCACGTTCTGAGCTACATTGTCAGATTATCCATTTCCATTTTCAAAATAACTATCTCAATTCTGCAGAAAACCTATCAAAAAAAAGAGCACTGACCTTAAGAAATTATAACTTTTCTCTGCCACCTTCAACGTTTTAATAAGTGTTGTTGCAGCCTTTATCTAAATCAGGGCACTGTTATAATATCATGGAATATTTTGAAACTGGATATTTGCATGTATACATAAGAAAGAATCCAATTTCAAAATGAAATACTCTTCAAACTGTTTCAAAATAAAGTATTTAAATAGGATCTCTGGCCCCTCCATCTCTTATATCTGAGATCCCCCCTCTCTTCAAGGATCAAGAGTATGGACAACAGACTAGACAGGAAAAGTAAAGATGGAATGTTACTAGCCTTACAGTAATTCCCCAAAAGCCATTTTTTTTAAGTTAAAAAAAAAAAAAAAGAAAAAAAAAACATCCCCCCCACAAACAGAAAAACAAAACTACAAACCAACAAACCTTCATATGTGAACTAAGACCTGATATAAATCAAGGGATAGCATTAGTTCGAATTCCAGTGTATTCTCCCTACAGCAGCATGTGGCCTAAATAGTCAAATGACTGTTATTAAAAAGATGCTGAAAGCATAGCACACATATTTAACTTGTTATGCATTATTGGCTGTTGTTACAGTTGGGATTTAAGGGTTATTCACAGATTCATTGTGGTCCATGGCAACTCATTTCCTCTCAATAACATAATAGGTTATTCATACAATTATTCAATCTGTGTTCCAAGGCTGTGGAACACCATTCCCATATAACACCTTCAACACAAAGTTACTGAGAAATTTAGGGTAAGAAACACACATTAACATAAGTCTATTGACTAAATGATTAACACAGACAAAAAGTCTCTGATGGGACCTGTATAGATTCATGCATTTATAATATGGTAGATGAAGTAGGGCTTCATCTACAACAAAACAGAAAGTCAGAGTGTGATGATTTCTTTTGTATAGTTGAGCTGACTGTTTCATTAAACCTCTGGGCATATTCATCAAACCAACCTGGCTATTAAGCATCAACTTCCTGGAAGCTAAAAAATATTCCCATACGAATATGAATCTCAATTGCATCTCTGATTTAGTGTTTCCAAGCTCAGTGAGAATAATCACTTAACATTTGCCAGCACTGACCTCTTAATAGCATACTGGAAGTCAAAGCACAGAGTGTCTTTCTGCAATCTCATATTTAATAGAGCGAATCCCATTAAGCTGAATCTTGATGGGACATAGAACACAAAACCTACAACTAACTGAAAGAACAAGTAGAAAGTGTAGCTAATTACACAAGAAGAAAGCAAGCCAGATACATTATTATTAAGAGATTCCGCAGACTTTAAATTAAACTTCAGAATGCTTATAAGCAATGTTGTACTACTTTTAGCCTAAGTAAGACCAAAAAGGCATGTGAAGGGAAGACTTTAAGGACGTGATAGTAGGCAAGAAGTATAGAAACAGGTTGACACTGAATAGCTAGAACAGACCACAGCCTATAAGTCTAGACCAGTTCAGATAACCACAGGGAACAAAATTAAGCTATAAGTTACATCTAGACTGTCCAGAGAGAAATTATCACCTGTTTTCCTTCTTAATATTCATGTAGTTTTACATTGTTTATTAGTTTATAAAAGAAGTGTTTGAGACAGTATTACTCTTTTCATGCTAAACATGCCTATAACACTAAAGTTATTGGTCCTTTACAACTTCATACATGACACTTGAGTAACCTTGGGCCACTCAGTACTTTTTCTTAAGAATAATACTAATTTCCAATAGATTCTTCTCTTTCAATTAAGTTTTAAAAAATTAGTGTATATCTATTTCTTGTATACAATACATTATTAGATTGTACTGTACAATATTTTATTTGGTGCAGCATGTACATAATCTTTCCAGGAAAGTTTTTCAAAATAGTCTTTTGCTATAACTTTAGTTTCCTGTGGACCTATAATTAATCTCTACAGGATCCTAGGTCATGTCCAGGAGGAAATAAAGGATTAGGATTTCATATAGCAAATTTTGTTTGCATACCAGCACTAGAAATAATATATTTGGGAAAAGACTATTTTGTTGGATAGTTTTAGCCATAAAACCTAATGAACTGAGTTGCATGGAAGTGCTTTTGTTCTCCCACAGGAAGCAGAAATGCCATCTGTGTCACAAGACAGCTTTCTGCAAGCGACTGCTTTGCTTATCACACATTCTTTACCGGTTTAGTGGTGGATTTGGCAGTGGATATGGCATTTGGCAGTGCTGGATTAACAGTCGGACTTCATGATCTTAAAGGTCTTTTCCAACCTAAACAGTTCTATGATTTTGCAGCTTAGCTGTTCTAGACCAGTCTTGCTGTGCTGAGACAATAGCATCTCTACATTTTTCATTCTTTCCTTTTTTTATTCCTGAAGTTAAACACATGGGCAAAAGCACCTCCCAGTTGCACTGTGGAAAATTATATGCACAAGAAATACGAAACTGAGCTTAAAGAAAAACATAATGTGCAAGCCTGCTGGGAAGGTACATTAAAACAGCATTTCTGAATGACCACTTTTTCACTTAATTTTTAATTTGTATTTTCATACCGTTTGGCACATTTCACACCTTATTCCTGAACTATGAATTTGGGGAAAATAAAATGCATCTTATCGCACCACTTTTAGCCATAAAAGGTAATGAACTGTACTGTATGGAAATATTTCCAACTCGGGATATTCTGTGATTCCATTACTTGTTTTCCCACACAAGGACTTCATTTTAGGTCTTTGCTGAGTCTCCTGTGTCTGAGACTCTGCAGCTCCTCACAGGTTCACCCTCACGACTACAGCGGGTGTCCGAGCAGCTCACCAACTCCACAATTCCCCGATCGCCTCACCCCCCCCGGCGGTCCCTAATGGGATGTTCCACTCGGGGCGGGCACCCGCAGCCAAGGCAACGGGTGGGACGCTCCACCGCAGGAACTCAGGGGGGGCGGCTTCCGGGCGCCCACTTCGAAACGGCAGAGCGTCGCCGGCCCCGCCATGACGCAGTCGGTTGTGGTGCAGGGTAAGGAGTCTTGGTGCCCAGAGCCCCCCGCCGCTACACCGTCCCCGTGCCTGAGCCGTGTCTCTCCCCTTTGCAGTGGGACAGTGCGGGAACCAGGTGGGCTGCCGGTTCTGGGACCTGGCGCTGCGGGAACACGCCGCCGTCAACAAGGTAAGGGCGCCGGTGCCGCCGCGGCTCCGGCTGCCGCTGGCCCGGGGCGAGCGCCCTCGCCGTCGGGAGGCAGCGGTGCCCCTGCGCTCCCTTCCGCCTTCGTCGCTGTGACTGCAAAGCTCTGTGTTTGTTTGATTAAACTAAGGCCGCTTCACTGGGAGCAAAACTACCCCCAGATTCTTGTGCCTTTTAACTAGTCACGAGTTTTAACTACCAAGAGACCTTGATAAGTCAGAGGGGTGGGCAATAACCAACCCTATGAAGTTTCAACAAGGGAAAGTGCTGGATTCTGCACGTGGGATGGGACAACCCCAGATGTATGTACAGACTGAGGAATGAGAGGCTGGAAAGCAGTGCCGCGGAAAGGGACCTGGGGGTCCTGGTGGATGGCAAGTTGAATATGAATCAGCAGTGCCCTGGCAGCCAGGAGGGCCAACCGTGTCCTAGGGGGCATCAGGCAAAGCATCACCAGCTGGTCAAGGGAGGTGATTGTCCTGCTGTGCTCTGCACTGTGGCAGCCTCACCTTGAATATCGTGTGTAGTTTTGAGCACCGCAACATAAAAAAGACATTAGGCTATTAGAGAGCGTCCAAAGGAGAGCCACGAGATGGTGAAGGGTCTGCAACGGAAGCTATATAAGGAGTGGCTGAGGTCATTTGGTCTGCTCAGCCTGGAGGAGACTGAGGGGAGATGTCATTGCATTCTACAACTTCCTCATGAGGTGAAAAGGCAGAGCAAGCACTGATCTCTTCTCTCTGGTGACCAATGATCATGGCTAGGCTTTGCAAATGAAGATTTGGGAAAGGCTCTATCCACATTTGTTACAAGCACACTGGTGGCTAATAAGGCCAATACGAGACAGACATGTCCGATTACAGAAGGCACAGCAGAAAGACTCCTTAGATGGTATATTCTGCAGGGCACGATTCTTTCTGCGTTGTCTTTTCTCCTCGAGAGTGATCCTGCGTGCGTTCTCAAAGGAAGCAGCAGCGTTATAGATGGTGTGTCTCCAGGCCTCCCAATTTGAGGCCAGAGTAGACCAGTTATGGTGATCAATATGACCAAGGCTGAGATGTTGTTTCGGGGAGTCCTTGTATTTTTTCTTCAGCAGCTGGTGGCAAGTTCACCATAAAGCAGGATCTTAGGGAGGCGGTGGTCCTTCATCCTTGAGATGCGTCCTGCCCAATGCAGCTGTGTTCTCAGCAACATGGCCTCAATACTTGTGACTGCTGCTTGTTCTAGAACAGATGTATTGGTCACATAATCTGACCAGTGGATGTTTAGGATTGTACAGAGGCAGCGTTGATGGAAGCGTTCTAAGAGTCGCAGGTGGTGGCAGTAGATGACCCATGATTCGGAACCATATAAGAGAGTAGACAGCACTATGGCTCTGTAAACACTGATCTTTGTACTTTTCTTCAAGTGTTTATTACGCCATACTCTTTTGAGGAGTTTTCCAAAAGCACTATATACCTTTGCTAACCTGTTGTCTATCTCCCCGTCAATCTTACCATCCGAGGAGATGAGGCTACCTAGGTAATTAAACTGCTGGACTGATTTGAGCTCTGATAAGACCCATGGGAATGTCCTGAAGTTGTGTCAAGAGAGGTTTAGGTTGGCTATTAGAAAAAGGTTTTTCACCCAGAGGGTGGTTGGGCACTGGAACAGGCTCCCCAGAGAAGTGGTCATAGCATCAAGCCTGACAGAGTTCAAGAAGCATTTGTATGATCCTGTCAGGCACATGGTGAGACTCTTGGGGCGGTCCTGTGTAGAGCTGAGTTGGACTCAATGATCCTTGCAGGTTTCTTCCAGCTCAGAATATTCTGTGATCCCTAATTCTGGTCAGCTTTCTCCAGCCTTTCCACCTTGAAAAGCCCAGGATGCCTCCCTACAGCCAGACATTACCAGGTTTGAGGCAGTAAGTGACAAGAGAGGACTGTTCAGTGCGAGTTCTTTGCCACTGGCAGAAAAGCAGAAGGGCAAGCCCCCCAAATTCCACTGTTGTTCTCCATTTTAGCTCGTGCCCTAAACTTACCATACAGCCGTGCTAAAGAAAATAGCACTGTGAAGAGGGCATAGGATTGTCTGAGTACCTTGAACAAAATCACACTTTCCTTGCTGTGACTGTAAAGATACTGTTTCCTGGTTAACACAGTATATTAACAGATATGATGAGTCTTCGATGCCTTCTCTAGAAGCAATGGGTGATGTTCATATTGTCTGTGGAGAGTCTTTTGGTTGTAGTGTAGTACAAAACAGTGTCTTCCAAATTCTCCCTCACCAGGTCTTGAGTATGGTAAGCAATCTGTAAATAATAATGTTAAAGTATTTTAACTTGCCAGGTCTCTTTAGCTGTATGGCGGGGTAAGTAATTTGCATGCTGTCCTCAGCAGGGATTTCTGGAATCACTGATGCAGTGTGATATGCTTTCCTTTTCACAGAACTTCATGGGCATCGAGCCCATGATGAACTGAGTATTGTGTAAGTGATGAACTGAGTCAGCTAAACAGCAGCTATTCGATTTAATAATTGCCTTGGGATCTTCAGTAAGCTACTACAGTTTTCTAATCTTGTGCTGAAAAATTAATTTTCTACCTCCTGTCAGTTTTTAATAACCTGATTTTTCAGTGAAATGTTCTGTTTAGAGCTGACTAGAGCTAACTGGATTCAACATAGATGTTTACTCTGTTTTGAGTGGTGAGGTTTGACAAGTGACCTTCAGAGGTCCCTTCCAACTTAAATTATTTTATGAAAAAGCACTGAGAATTTTTGATGTTATACATCATTTTGTGTTGTTTCATTTTAGAAAGGAATTTATGATGAAGCCTTAAGCAGCTTCTTTAGGAACGTAGATACAAGGTAAGTTGTCTTATCAAGAAGCTCATGAGTTTAACACAGTGGATCCACACTTCAAGTGTCTTCCCTTAACCTAAGTAATAATTTTCTTTGTTTCAAGTCACACTTAGTTTGTACTAGGAAAAGATTTTGCTTTTTTGTATTCCTCTCTAAACTTCCATTTTAAGTATACTTAGTTCAGTAATTAAAGATGTTGAAAGTTTGGATTAACCAATTCATATCTTAAGAGCATTCAGTCATCTCTTATCTGTCTAGTTAGAAAAATCCTTGCAATTTGCAAGAATAAAATGTGCACTTGGATATTGCTGTTGTCTTTAAATTAATTAAAAAGGATTTGACCAACCTCTTTTTCCTTCCATCATATGACAAGGTTATAGTACAGCATGTGATTTTAATTAAAATGGCGTTGAAACACAAATTGTTTTATCTCAAATTTTACCTCTTTGAAAGAACAATGCAAATGCATTGAAGTTTATGATTGCCACTCCTTGCGGGTATTTCCTGGAATAACTTTTTTTTTTTTAACCAAGAAAATTTGATTGTAAAAAATGCCCACGTTTATGTACGAGCCTAACGAATTCATCAAATTTTTAATTGGGGGGTTGACTGCAATGGAAATATCTGTTTTCTTTCTGAGCAACTTGGTCTAGTGGAAAGTGACTCTGCCCATGGCAGAAAGGTCTTTAAAGGTCCTTTCCAACCACAACCATTCTGTGATTCTAGGAACATGGAGATTTTTTTCAGCAATTGAATCCAAGTGATTGAAGGAATGGTCTCTCATGAAAGATCACAAAGACAACAGGAAGAAAAAGAAGTGTTGTTTTGAAGTTAGGTTTTTTCCTCTTTGAGTTTTGTTAGTCCCTGAAGAGAAATAGAACTTCTCTAGGTGTATTTAGTGCTGCTATAACGGACTCATATAGGTGTTGTGTAGGCTAGAGAAATCACATGAGTACTGGAGGCTGCTATGAGCTGTTCAGCTAATGAGAAGTGTCTGGAGAGCTTCTTTGAGTGAGAAGATGGAAAATCCTGGAGGAATTCAGCGCAGCCCCATACTCTTTTCCCCTCATTTCTAATGGGACTGAGTAGGGTCAGAACACTGGCACTGTAGCAAGTTTTAGCTGATGTTTTGGGAATATTATTGTGGTTGAATGTAGAATGGTCTAAGACATACTTTGCTCTTGGCCAGCTCCCAAATCAGGGAAATAACTGAGGGGAAAATTAGATCCATCTCCCAGTATCCCTGCGTTTTTTCCCCTGTGTTCAATATAGTTTGGCCAGACTGGAGTATCTCATTCTTTGAGTGCAGAAGCACCAGCATTCATTGTTGAAAAAATATGATTGTAGCACAATGCACAGTCTCCTATGTTGGCTCATTACAACCAATCCTGGGAAAGAAGTAGCTATGTCATCTCAGCATGATTTCTGAACTGGTAAATCTTAATAGCAAAGTAAGTCAAATGTAAGTGCTGTGCTAGTGCAGTAACACGGGTTTCACACCTGAGCAGAAGTACAGTGTTGTAACGACCCCCACTGAAAACCTTGTGGGGCTGCTTGGTGCGCTGTGTTCAATTATGTGATGCAGATACACATATTACATACTGATAAAAGAGAATCCTTTCAAGTTTTGGCAAACTAGAATTCCTGTAGAGGCTGTATCTGAGAGTAAACATTCAGTACTTCTCTTTTCAGTTTCTTGAAGTAATGCTTAGGCTATTTCTGACTGAGATAGTGTCCTGTAATTGCATTACTTCCAGGAATTGTGAGGTCTTTCTTAGCAGTATGTTCAGGGTGTTTCTGTTTGTTTGCATGGTCATACTCCTTTGAACACAAAATATTAAAGAGAAAATTTTATTATGTTATGTATTTTTTCTTACGAATCTGAGCTTAGATTTTTCTGTTACTGTTTTTTTTCAGAAGTGGCGGTGATGGTCCTGGTATTTACAAAGGAAAAATCTGCTCTTTAAAAGCACGAGTAAGGCAATCTATAAAGGTCATTCTTTTTACATTGCATATTTATGTACAACTGTGGGAATTTTCATAAAGTCCTTAAAATTGCATACAGGTTTAAATACTGCTTTGAATAGTAGAATTTCTAATAGTAACTTTCATGGTTCATTCAAATTATACAGTTTACTGCCAGTCTTGTTGAGTCATTTAAATTGTAATTCCAATAAAATGATTGCCGATATTAGTAAGTAAGTATTTATTTGAATTCTCTAAGAAGTGGGTTTCCTTAAGCCACTTTAAATGATTTAAGAAGCAAGAAGACTTGAAACGAAATATTTTAAGGTCTTCATTTCTATCAGGGCAAAATATTAAAAAATTTTAACAAAATTTCATTATCTGAAATGCTGTCCTATTGAGCAACTTCTGGCAAATCAGCTAAGGTTAATCTAGTTGGTCTCCTAGTTAACAACTGGGAAAAAAAAGGTTTCTCTGGAGCAGAGTAGAAGCAGTATACCTTTTATATTGTAAATAATTTTATATTTCTTAGTGGGTTATTTCAAGGGTGGTTTGCTTACTGACTGAATTTTAATTTTTTCTCTTCTCAAAGGCACTGTTGATTGACATGGAGGAGGGTGTGGTAAATGAAATTCTGCAGGGACCGTTGAGGGATATGTTTGATAGCAAGCAACTTATCACAGATGTTTCTGGTTCAGGAAACAACTGGTGAGAACCTCTTCAGAACACATTTCTTAGCAACTAATTAGATGGCATTTGAAAAGGGAAATGATAACCGTAGCTTTCTGTTTCGTTCTGCACCTGGGCAGCATTTTACCAGCAGCATTTTACCAGCAAACTTGGAGTCACTGTTGCCTGGAGGAGGGCTTTGAAAAGGCTTTTACAGAAGGATAATTTTGCTGATACACCATTTTGTCTATTTTTTTCTTCTTTTTTGATTTTCGTTTCAAAAGAGCATGCTTTTTATTTTTGTTTCTTTGGTATTCAGCTGCTTCCATTGCTCAGTCTAAGCCATAATCTAGTTTGAGACTGTGCAACTACTGTGGAAATGAGATATATGAACAAATACATTTCTGATTTCTAAGCACCACAGAGTCTGGCTTTGTGCATCTAAACTACATTCCCAAAAAGAGAAATTCAGAAAAAGATTGATTAACATAACGAATTGCAAATTTTCATGGAGACCCTAATGTGCCTCTAATAATATTCAGTGCATTACAGACTGGAAAGCAAATCATCAGCAAATGTGCCAAAAGGGAGGGCAATACAGGGAATAAAACATCCTGTAAGGCAATACACGGAATAAAACATCCTGTAACTTCACCATCTAGCAGGCATGTGTATGGAAAATGAGCTGTTTGGGTTTTTTTTTAATTACTGGTATCATTTGACTTGCATAGTACTCAAAGGAAGATCAGTACACATTTTGCATAGGGGTATCCTTATTGTTAAGGAGTATATAATTTTCATTTCATTATTACAATTAGATCATCCAATGTGGGAGTTTATTTCCTGATCAGTGCAAAATAACAGTGCATGCTCCAAATGTGAACTTAGTGCTGCTTGCATCCTCAAAATTAAAACCATATCCTGACTCCCATATTCTCATTATGTAGACACAGCTTGGAAGCTTTCACAGATGAGGTGTTGCACCCAGCTTTGGACTCTGAACTCTAAACTGTCAATTAGAAGGAGATAGAATAAAAAATTGAAAGATTGATTGTTGGAATATTTTTCTAAAGTACTTTTTATATCCTCAGGGCTGTAGGTCATAAGCTATATGGCTATCAGTACCGGGAAAACATTGTGGAAAAGCTGAGGAAAACCGCAGAACATTGCGACTGTCTGCAATGTTTCTTTATAATTCATTCCATGGGAGGTGGTAAGTAATGTCTTTATAGTGAGTATGGTTGCAGTAGCCACAGATGAAAAAGAAAAACATGTATCTTGAAAAGAAGATAAACATAATAATTCACATTGTTCAGAATGTGTAATAAAAAAAAACCACAGTGGACCTGGAGTGATTTATTACTTATTTTGTTAGACCACTAAGGAGCCCTAATGTGTTACCCAGAGCAAAAATGCTGCTAAAATTTTAAATATGACACAATGGATGGTTTAAGGCAGGTACCAAAGACAAATAAACTCCTCAGAATTACTGATCAGAAGAAGAGTCAGTGGCCTCTGAACACTGATGTCATTGTTGTAATCAAGTTGCTTTTAATCATGGGGAAAGCGTTTTCTGAAAGGCTTGAAGGAGACTTCAAATGTTGCTTTAGAAAAATTTTGGTTTTCTGTTTTCCTTCCACATAATTCTCTTGAATCCAATCTAGTTGCTTTGTTAGTAAGTCAAAAGGGAGAATCCTTTGCCACTAAGCCTTCCTACTCCAGAAACCTGGGAGCAGCATGTATTATAACTGGCTATGATGTGGAAAAAGACACAGAAAATAGCTCTAAATATGAAGCAAGAGCTCTGTCAAGAGCCTTTTTTGTGGCTGTTTGCTTAATTTCAGAGACCCTGCAGATATTGTTTCTGTTATTGCAGAAAGTTACTGTCTTGTTCATAAGAATAAATTGTCTGCCACTGAGAATGTAGCTGCAAATTCAGAAAAAGATCACAGTTCAGTTCTCAAATTTGAGCTCAGTGCTGTGTTCTTAGTGATAATGAGGAAAAAAGCTTTTGTGCTGGTAGAAAGGGGTGGTTCTGTTTTGACTGGAGAATGAGAAAACTTTATAAAGAAACCCTAAAAGGAAAGAACGTAATTGTTTGGGGCAGTTCAGTGCTTTCAAGCAAATGTTTTGTTTCAAAATCCAAATAAAAATTTTAAAATAAGAAATAGAAATGCTAGTTTGGAAAATGTTAGTTACATAATAGGACTTTTTGGATTGCAGAAATTTTTGAGATTGTATAATTCATCCTGAGTGGTATACTGTGGAAAATACCTTTTTTACTTAATTATTTTCCTGTCTGGTAAAAATTTTCCTGCCTTAAGTTACATTTGAGTAGCCTCCACTGTCAGCCAAATATTTCAGAAAATATTCATTAACATATATAATTGAAAAGTTGTATGTCTCCAATATGTGGGTCTTAGGGCCTAAGATAACATGGGGAACCTTAACCTTTTATCTTCTCTCATTCTGTTTTCGTTATAATTAGGGACAGGATCTGGTCTTGGAACTTTTGTACTAAATTTGCTTGAGGACGAATTCCCAGAAGTGTATAGATTTGTTACTTCAGTTTATCCCTCTGGTGAAGATGATGTTATTACTTCTCCATATAATAGTGTTCTGGCTATGAAGGAGCTTAATGAACATGCAGACTGTGTGTTACCAGTAGAGAATGAAGTAAGAATTAATATTATATTTCTGTCAATTTTTTTTAATTAGGTTGCACAAATTTCTCCCTTTTCTGTATTGATTTGAGTACCAATTAAAGTAATAATTAAAGTTCTAAGTCACAGGCTTTTGAAATGAACATGAGTATCACTAAAAAGTTGCTCTGCATCTTCAAAGTAGTCTAGAGTGAATTTTTTTGTCCTTTTCAAGGTAAACATTGAAAAGCTTCTATTTACTGAGAGAGGGTGTCTTCTTTTAGCAATCATTTTGTGCATAGTATTAATAGTGTTGCAAGAGAAATGACAAACTACCCCAGATTCCTACAGACTTAAGTGTGCTGATTAGGAGGTAGGCTGATAGGAGAACCATAGGCATACCTGACCTTGCAAAGTACTAGACCCGTTTGAATCTAACTTTGGTGACTGTCTTGGTATTTGTTTATGAAAAAAGCAAGAGAAACTGATATATAGTTGGAGAATATATTTTTCCTTTCAGAGGTATTATGAAAATTTAATATTCATTTTTAGAGGATAAGGATTTTAAACAGTTGAATAGAATTCAAATTTCTGTGTCAAGCTTTGTACATACTTGTGACATGTAAGGAACAGGCTTTTAGAAACACTTCAGTCAACTGGAATTGCTCAAAAGTTGGACTTAGATGTATCAAAGGTATAATCTTTGAGCTAACAGTACTTAAAAGCCAGCAGGCTTTTATATTAATAGGAGTGAAAAATTGGGGTACTGAATTTGAAAGTTCTTTGCTCAAGACTACTTTGCTTTTTTTTTTCTCTCTCTCAAAGTCTCTGTTTGATATAGTTAATAAAATTAATCAGATGATCAATTCTGGGAAACTGGGGTCAACCGTGAAGCAAAATAGCTTGGTGACATCAAGTACAGGCAGTGTAAAAACTCTCCAAGAGAAGCCATTTGATGCAATGAATAATATCGTAGCCAACTTGCTGCTGAACCTGACAAGGTAAAGTTACAGGTTATTCCTCTGTAAAAAAGTGGTATTGCTGGAGGTGGTGTTTGCTGCAAATATGCAGGCCTGGATCAACTTGAATAATATAAATTGATTTTCATTTGATATGAGTCTTCTCTTTTTAAGAATTGGTTACTAAATGCTAAGGTATTTGGAAGTATTCAGATTGTAGTGGTGTTGCTTTAGCCATGACAGTCTTAAAACTGAAGTAAATTTGTAGGCAGAAGGATATTATTTTCCATTAATGCTTAGTGGAGCCCAGAAGGGTTTGTCTTTCTAGCCCAGTTGTATTACTTTATAAATACTGTTAGATCATTTTTGCTCCTAAATGGTCTATTACTGCAAGAAATATACTTCTGGAGTATTGGCCTGTTTTTCTTTTAAACAGCTTGTCAGGAATGCTAAGTCACACATATTTTATTATAGCTTGTTTAGTAAAACTGGTATTAATTAACTGGTATTAGTCAGCTATGTCCACATACTGAAAAACAGTGCTAAAGACTGCAATTGGGAAACAAGGTCTTATTCTTGATGATTTATTGTTTTTTAATGAGAAGTATAAGTAAATAAGATTTAGCACTGATTCTGCCAGATGTGAAAGTTTTGTAATTATACGTGGAGGGTTTCTTGAATGCTGTGTTGTTTTACTGTTTTATTGTACAAAACAGTTGAAAAATAGATTTAATGGAGTTTTACATTATAGAAGTGATTTCTTTGGTTTATAATAGTTTTATAATGGTTTGTTAATTTTCAGCTCTGCTAGATTTGAAGGTTCCCTGAACATGGATCTTAATGAAATCAGTATGAATTTGGTTCCATTTCCTCGACTTCATTATTTGGTTTCAAGTTTGACTCCTCTGTATACGTTGGCGGATGTTAACGTACCTTCCAGAAGGTAGGAAAAAAATGGGAGTTTCACATTTAAAGCTTAATTTCTGATTTTGCTATAGTTCTCATTAAAAAATTCCATTTTGTAGCAAAACTAAGGGTGGAAGTTCTAAAACTTTTAAGTCTGCCACATGTTCAAATTCATCCTGTTGATTTTTGGAACATCTGTTGTCTCTTTTCTCTGTAATGGTTGAGCCAGTAAACTTGACATCTTTTTAATCTCTGTTGGGAAATGTTTTTGTTGGAAAAATTTATTACTTAGAACCCACACCACAAGTTCTTTTGAGTAACAGTATGCACTTGACTGACAAAATACTTTTAAGACAAGGAATTAAACTAGACTCTTTGGGAAGTAATGGCATCTTAGTTGAGTCTGGAGGTGCAATGTGCCTATTTATCAACTTATTGTAATGATAAGCCAACACTATTGTAAAGTTCTTTGAGGTATTTATCCCTCTGACATAGCAGAAAAATAACCAGTTAAAATAAATTTTACTGGGTTTAGTGAATTAAGTTCAATCAGCAAGAGGTCCAAATGATGATAGAAGCAACTAAAGGTAAGTGATGAAAGTAAGCAAAGCAGAGGAGAGGGCAGGACCACCCCTGTTCTGTGATAGCAAGTTGTGACAATCAGTTGTATCTGTTGAAAACATTCCTTGAGGAGACAGTACAGTGCTGGGGGAAGGAAGCATACTATGGGGAGATGCTCAGTCAAGGATGTCTCAGAATGAAGTGGGAACAGTAATATTTTTGTTTCCTTTATTTAGTTATTTTTTTTGTAATAGGCAGATTGTGGCAGAGGTGATATAAGAAAAAAGAAATAGAGGTGATGAATGCAGAGAGTTTGAGACAAATGGAAAGAATAGCTTAGATGTTGTGGGTCCACAGGAACGTCAAGACACCAGCTTTGATATCCCACAGTACAGTGAAACTTGCTTAAGGAAGTGAAGAGAGAAAGAATATGATCAGCAGTCATGGGTGATAGAATTAGAATAAGTAGACAAGTATGTATAGTCTGTATTTTTCTAAATCATTAATCCAAATCAATACCATTCTATGATTCATTGATCTTTTAAATAATGAATCGTAATTGGCAGATAACCAGTTCTGTAAGGGTCAGCAGCACTTTGATATTCCTTGTCAGATCTTTCACAGTGAGATTGTCCACTCAAATTGTCATAAGACCTTGTAACTATTGACCTCAAATTGCCTTTATAAAGGCAACTTCTCTGACTCAACAGTGGCTTGTAACATGAGGGAGAAGAGTAAAAAATGGATCCAGTGTATTTTTAAAAACTTGCAATGCCAACATATGTATATGTAAAAGTTTGAATCTTTTTCCTGTAATTTATGGTCCCCGATTAGATGTACCTTTATCTCTAGAATTTTATGAACTTTCAAACCCTGCAGGTGGGTGTTCTGAAAAGCTTTTGTATCCTACTTTAGTAAGAGTAGGTAACTGCTTTCTTTTCACCTAGGTTGGATCAGATGTTTTCAGATGCATTTAGTAGAGATCATCAACTAATTCAAGCAGATCCAAAGCACAGCCTCTACCTTGCCTGTGCACTTCTTGTTCGAGGAAATGTGCAGGTTTCAGACCTTCGCCGAAATATTGAAAGGTTTGTAATACCACACAAAGTAGTCATGGGAAACTGTTGTCAGTCATCCAGAGCACTCCAACTTTTCATTTGAAGAGTTTCAATACCAAATCAGTTTACTCAGAAATATTTTTCTGAATTTTAGAAGGGAAGAAACTGTAATTAATTTATGCAATGAGTGAGAATAAGTCACAGCATTCCTGGATTTCCAAATAAAGGAAGCTGACTAGATATCCCTGTACTGCTCCTCCCTTTCTCAAAAATGCAAAAGAAAGCAAAACCCAACCTTCCAGGGGTCTCCTGACAGTAAAGGATATTGGAAAAGTAAGTTCTGTAGTAGAAGTTTGTTCTTACTGAACGGAAGATATCTCTCTTTCATGGTTACTGTCATGTAGATAAGAAATCATCCTTATTTTAACAACTCTGTGTTGTTAGCACCCTGTTTCTACCTTTTACACTATTGAGCTACATAGATATAACAGGAAAGGCAGGCAAGCTTCACATACAGAAGGGAAGACAGACATTTTCCCCGTGCTTTCCTGCTTATAGGCAGACAGGGAAGCATGGGGAAAATTTCTGAGAAGCTAAAGCATTTAACTTATTTCAAAACTACAGGTCAACTGATTGTCCCCACACAGTATTAAGCTGCCCCTTTCCTAAATTTCGGAGGGCTTGCAGTCTCTTTTATAGAAATAGGTACTTGTAACTTCATTTTTCAAATCCTGATACATTAAATTAGCAAAACAATATTGGTGTTTGCAATTTGACTTTCAAACAGACTCAGTGGTTTAGTCTGAAGTCTAAAATGTCTTATTCACAATGATAGTTATAACTGTCCTGCTTTGTTCTGAAAGCTTAAATGTTAACCTTTTCAGTTTGTTAGTTAAGACAGAAAACTTAGCCTTCATGTTCTTTACATTCCTTAGATAACTAAATTTTTGTGTCACAGGTTAAAACCTTCTCTGCACTTTGTCTCCTGGAATCAAGAGGGCTGGAAAACTGGTTTGTGTTCAGTACCTCCTGTGGGCCATTCCCATTCACTTCTGGCTTTAGCAAACAACACCTGCATAAAACCAACTTTCATTGAACTCAAGGAGAGATTTATGAAGCTCTACAAGAAAAAGGTGCAACTCTTATTGTTCTAATATCCGTAGTCACTAATCGTTAGCATCTTGTGTTATTGGGAAGCAAATATTAGTATGGCAAAGGGACTGCTTAAAATTAATAGCCCAAGATTTTTATTTATGTTACCTGAAAAGGAGCCATTCCAACAGCTGCTTCTTAAAAAGCGTAAATCCTTTATTAATCTGTACCTACCTGACAATATCACAGAATCATAGAATGGTTTGGGTTAGAAGGGACCTTAAAGGTCATCTCATTCCAACCCCCCTGCAATAGACAGGGATACCTTCCACTAGAACAAGTGTCTCAAAGCCCCATCTAGCCTGGCCAGGAACACTTCCAGGGATAGGGCATCCACAGCTTTGCTGCACAACCTGTTCCAGTGCCTCACCACCCTCTAAATAATTTCTTCCTCATATCTAATCTAAATGCTGATTCCCACCAAGCTTTTCTCTCACTTCCCTTCCTCAGCAGGACAGGAAGAATATACAATGAAAAGCTTGTAGGTCAAGATAAGGACAGGGAGATCACTCACCAGTTACTGTCATGTGCAAAACAGACAGGGAATATTATTTTAATTTACTGCCAGTGAATAACAGAGTAGGACAGCAGGAAATAAAACCAAAACTGAAAACACCTTCATCCCCACTCCTCCCCTTTCTTCCCAGTCTCAGAATTTCACTCCCATTCCTTCCTTCCTGATCTTAGTGTCTGCAGCGCTGTTTCTCTCACAATGCCCTAAATCCAATCTCAACTGTTGTGCATCCTTTTTACCCCTTCTTAATATGCTGTCACAGAGGCATTGCCAGCATCACTAATGGGCTCAGCTTTAGCCAGTGGTAGGTCCATTCTGGAGCCAGCTGGAACTGGCTCTGTCCCACATGCAGGCAGCTCCTGTTATCTTCTCACAAAAGCCACCCCTGCAGCCTTGCACTCCCCCTGCTGCCAAAACCTTGCCACATAAACCCAATAACACTGTTTGTCCCCTAGGGTACACCCGAGCGGTATGAAAGGATGGATGTTTAAGGAATCAGGAATATCGATTATGATTCCATAGAGGATTGTTACTAAAGTTGTGAAGTGTTTAAACAAGGGGTGTCATGATACAAGTCTTCAAGTCTCCTTTCTGCAGTGCTTGCACTTCCCCCTTCAATGCAGGCTAAATGGTACTTACTGAGCCAAAGCAATTAGGGGCCAAGAAAAATGATAACACTGAATTATTTTTTTTTTATTCTTGTAGGCTCACCTTCACCATTATCTGCAAATAGATGGGATGGAGCAAAGCTGTTTTTCTGAAGCTGTGTCCTCCTTGTCTGATCTAATAGAAGAGTACAATGAACTGGATGTGACAAAAGGTGGGCCTAGAACAGACCCATCAAGACTGAAGATAGCTGTTTAAAGAAGGAAGAACTGCTCTTTATTTTTTTGTTTAAAAATAATGAAATACTTCCTAAGCATCCAGCCACTTCAGTTAACCAGAATGACTTGCAGCATGCCTGGCTGTTGTAATTCTGAAGTGGGACCAGGACAACGGCTTCCTCAGCTCAAGAGTTGTCATATTAAGTGATAAGCCCTACCTGTAAGAAAGATTTGACAGCACCTAATTATAGCTGATATCAGTAAGAGCAGTAATCCTAACTGTGAGTTAAATTGACACACCATATGCTGTGAAGAGAAGGAAAAGAGATTTTAGCAGCCAGAAATGTAATTCTTTTCTCAGACTTTACAGTAAACTAGAGGTAGGCCTTGCTTCAAAGAAAGATCACCATTGCTAGATTTGGTTTTTAATGAGCAACTATGAAGAAAAGAAAAGCTTATGTAGTCTTTTCAAAGATGAAAGCAAGTCTCTAATGAAACTGCTTTCTTAAGCTTTACAGTGGACATTTCAGAATGCTCTAAGCTATGTTCATCATTTTAATATTTTTGCTTCTATGTTGTACTTAGCTATATTAGAGCATTCTGAGTTCATACCAAAATTGGCAATATCAGAAAATTCCACAAGATAAATTTTGTTTCAAGTATTATACTTGGAGTATTAATTAACATATTATTTTAATGATTCATATTCCTGAATGCTGAGTTGCACTTGATAATGAGATAGTACAGTATACCTCTGACCAAAACATGCACTTAGAGTGAAGTTATATATATATGTAAAGAATTATAACGAGTGTTTGGAGAACAGAGTTTATAGGCTTGAAAGAAGGCAAGTAAAATAGATGGTTTAATATTTATAATTATCAGGGTAAGCAGCTTTTTATATTACAGTAAGAACTTTTATGAAATAGAACATACAGCTATTTCCAGTTGCTTACCAGCCTCAGCTGTCTTAAAACAGCAAGACTAGTGAACTGTTACAGATCAGAATGGATCAATACAATGATTTCTTGAAGTTTGAAGTCCTTTTAGCAGAGTTGGAGTGGGTGTATAAGTAAGCACAATTTTCCATGTATACGTCCAAGAAGCATTCAATAAAACATTGTGCTAGCATTTGTGGAGTGCATTTTTTAAGAAAATGTTCTAAAAATAGTAGTTTCCTTGAAATGTTGCATCTATTATCTGCAGTTGCCTGCCCACTTTTTAGTCCTTTACACATGCATTGTTTATATTCACAACACTAGAGGAACACTATCTGCTGCAAAAAGCAATCTGAGTTTAAAGTTGAATTCTTCATTTTCAAACAGCATTGATGTGTTTTACTGTTGCAGATACATAGTCAAAAAGGTTAATTTAAGAATCAGGAATGATAGATGAAGTATTACAGGGTAATATTTTTCCTAATAGGTTAGAGCATGTTTGTGGTTTTTTTTGTGGGCAGCACCTTGTTACAGTGAGGCATGAAGCTGTCATGCTTTGCCTTTCTTAATTACCAGAAGTTCTTGTTTGGACAGTACTAGTGTTACATGCATCCTTCTTAAGAGTGTATTTCTCCATATAAAAACAGTTACATTAAAAAGATGCACTGTTGCTTGTGTTTTCCAGTGACATTTAAAAAATGAGTAAGTATTCACTTATGTTATTTCACTGCTTATACTGTTGATACTGCCACAGTATAAACACTGCTGTGGCAGAGGGTTATGCTAACTCTTCAGGGTGTGAATGTGCTTTTGCATTGTCAGTGTGTTACAGTCAGTGGTGTAACTTGTCATAGGACTTTGAGTTCCGAAAACATATCTCCTGGAGCACTGCAAATCCTCTGACATACGCACGATGTTATCCACATCATCTTCCACTTGAAGAAGCCTTCATTGGGACACTCAAACTGTACAGTGATCATTTTGGACTTATTAGGTATGCAGCACCTCTTGTCCAAGCACACCCCACAGAAGGTTAGTCTGTAGCTTTGAGTAGTTGAGCATCCAGAAAAAACTAGCTTCTCTGCTCTTGGAAGCTGGAATGTCGGTTGACATGTTTTTCCTTTTGAAATCTTTAATGTTAGAACAAAGAAAAGCCTGAGTTTTCTATGCATTAAAAACAGAGCATGTAAGAAATAGTTGCAACATTTACTTAGAAATATCTTAAAAGTTAGTCTGAAACTAACTTAGTCTGAAACTGCCTTATTTTTCCTTTAGCAGTCAACAGATAGAAAATACAGATAGAGTGACTGTGCATCAGGGCAGCACTAGCAACACATCTATATCAGGACATTATATTTTTTTGCTTTAAATTACACATCTGTAGTTTACTATTGAAGCCTGAAGACTGAATGTAGAAAACATAAGAGTTATCTTAAAACCCTTAAAAAAGAAAGAAGTAAATATTTTATTAGTTCCACTAGCTCCAATATTTTAATTTTCTATTAAGAAGTAATTTTATATTAGCAAATACCTTTATTTTCTTCAGCATATTAGTCAGACAAGGCTGGATGAAGCATAATCTCTTTTCTTTTTTCATCTCACATCTTCTGTTGTCGTTGGTCACTCTGCTGGATATGCCTATGCCACAGGTCCTGGAGCAGGGTGTCCAGGGAGTTGCCTGTACAAGGCACTTTTTCTTCAAGACTAGCGGTAAGCTTCTGTAAGCTAAGACATCAATATATTATTTATGCAGCAGAACAGCCCCAAAAGGATGAATTGAAAATACAAGGATAAGACTTTGATTTCTGTTCCTGAAGGTACTTCTGGAGGTAAACGTAGAAATGAGACATAAATGACATTATTCAAAAGCCAGCTGAGCTGCTGTTAAACATTACTGACACTGGATACACAGGTCCTAGTAAGGACTATTAAATTGCATATGTTATGTGACTCTCCAGTTCTGCTTAATGGAAATGTTATGTGGAGAGGGTTATTTGTGGAATTTTTATGGAATGTCCAGATTTTTTTTATTTTATTTCAGGCCAAACATAGCTTGTAAAGGGCTGCTGAAAACATTAATGTTCATTTCTTTGTATATACTGTGAAGACTTTAGAGTTTGTGTTGAGGAATAAAATACTCCAATCACCTCTAGATATCACCAAAAAGTCTGTTTTTCTGATGGATGACGCCTGGATTAGGTGGAGTACACTTAAAAAAAAAGAAATAGAATTGTAGTGGAAAAGTTCATGGTGAAACTGCAGAAAACCTATGTGTAATCTGGACATTTATGTAAGAGCAGAGGTAGAATTACCTGAAATTGCCAGAATTGCTGTCAGCTTTTCAGAATACCTGGAAGTAGACAGCAATTTAAAAATCTCATTGAAGCAAGCAATTTAAAAGCCTTTCACAGAACTGCAACAAATAAAGGGAAGCTAAATGGTCATTTATACTTTGTATATTTTTTAAAGTATGACTTAGTTACATCCTTATGTGTCCGAATTAGGTAAATCCAATTGAAACAGAAAGCTAGAAAACAAAAGAAGAGCAGTAAAATGAAACTTAGCATTTATCCACACTAACAGCAAAAGGACTTTTCAAAATAGATATTTAGCCATCCATGGAGTTCATGCACAAGTTGACATGATACTTCTGCTGGTCTGGGAAATGGAAAGGGAAAGACTTTGAAACAAAAATTTCAAGGTGTATTTCTTAGAAGGTTCCTAAGGAACAGCATCCTTCAGCACATACAGCCACCACAGAGACAGGGTGTTAGCTCTCTGAACTGAGCCAACAGGAAGGATTTGCAAGCTGGGTGTCTTCTCTCAAAGTCATTCTGTGCAGTTGATTCAAATTCTGGAATGAATATTGGCTTAATACTGTTCTCCAGATATCTGAGATATATCTCTCCACAAACCCAATTACTGTATGTCAAATGGTCAAATGGTTTGGTTGCCATTGTTTTCAGTATGTTCTCTCTTGAATCAGGTTAACACTTTTCTAGAAAAGAAATCACTCTTCACTTGAAGTCAGTTGCCTTACCAAATGCATGTTTATACAACAAACATTAAGGATATTTCTCTTAAAAGGCTTTGATATTAGATAGAGGTATTGTATCATAATTTTGAAGTAAGGATTCTTTTTTTATTTTTACTAACTTGTATAACCACTGCTAATGTGTGAGAAGCTGTCCAAACTGAACTTCAGATTTTGTAAGCAGGTCTGTTTATCTGCAGATTGACTTCTGTGCATCTACCTGTTTACTCAGCAGCCTTTGAAGGTTTTCTGATAAGCGTTGCAATCCTTTTAGTTTTATTTTATTGATCCATGATCATGATTCAAGCTGCCACCAAATACATGGCTCAGCTGTCTGGTACCCATATTGGTTGTGATGAAAATGACTTTCACCATGGAAAGCTGCACATGCACAGGGGAGGAGATGGTGCAAGCTTAGGCAGCTGTGGCCAGGGAAGGGCCAGGATAGCTGCTTCTGTCATGGTGCTTCCTTAAAGTGAAAAAGAAAACTACAGGGTTAGCAGCAGAGCAAGAATGGAGTTAAAGGGAATATCGACTGACCCTGGCAGTTGACAAGCATGGACAAGCTTGTGGATGTTTTTTGTCAGACTGAATAGAGAAGAAAGTGAGGGGGAGTGCTGTCCTTACAGTGACCTCAAATTTGTCAGGAAAGCCACTTATTCAATTTTTATCATTTTCTGCTTTCTATCGGAAGAAGAGGCCTGCAGCATGTTAATTTATGTATGTGAAAACCAAGACTCTGTACCATCACAAAGCAGGAGAAAGTGAGACAGCTCCCAAGCTGCAAAATGGCTGTCCACCAGCATCTCTAATTGGGCTGATCCGATGAGTAATAAACCTCTGCAGAATGATGCTTTGCCCAATTCCCTGGTGACAGAAGCCAAAAGCCTTTTTGTTTTTCACATTCATTAGCTTTAGAGAAAAGAGTCTGTGACCTGAGAGTAAGAGGGATAAGTGGGACAGAACAGTCACCCTGGCAATGGCCTTCAGTAAGAACTGAGAAAGTGCCAGTGCGTTGGCACTGCCAGTGCTAGTGCCTGCTGGAGCCAGGGACACTAAATGCACAGAGGCTTACGTACAGAAAAGTTTACCAGTGTGGCCAGGCTCACCTGACATTAGTCTGTAGTTGGTTGATTGAAGCTGCTTGTGCTGTCCCAGGCCACAAATAGATTGTCCAGGCTTCTTTCTGCCCGTGACCCTGGTGCAGGGACTCACTGCTAGTCTCGGTGTGAATACAGGTGTACATCCAATTGCACCACTGACACACAGGCACTTATAAAGTGGGTTAGGCTGGAAGGTCTGCCCGTTGGGATAATAAACTCCATTGAGCTCACATCCTACAGCTACCAGATCTGAAAACAGTGAACAACAGTTACTAACGCAGGAGGAGCACATGGATCTTGCTTAACAGAGTGCTAAAATGTGATCAGCCATAAATGTGGTCAGCTCTTTAAATCAGTCACCAACGTGTCTGACAGTAACAGGCTTGTGCATGATGAACTGGTTTCACTAATGCATATGCAGGTAAGTTTAAAGCCAGTCCCAGCACTACTCTTAGATTCTCTGATTGAGCAGTCAGAGAACTAAATTAGGATAAATTGCTTAGCACAGAGCTGTACAGCACCTGCAAGCAGAATTTTCCTCCAAAACCATTTACCTGCATGGTCCCACCCTCCTGCATTTCAAGAAGGAAACATGAAAGAACAACTTACATGCACACACGCCTTTTTCATACCTAGGCTCGTCTTCCGAGTAGTCGCAGTAGAGACCTTTATGGGGATCACAGACATCTGCTTCATTGCAGGGCTCTCCTGACTGCTTGGCGCAGACTTTACAGCAGCCACAGCCATCCTTCACCAAGCTTACCCCAGGGGTGCAGGCTGGCACAGGGGGACATCTGCATGGCCAGTGACAAACTTCCTTGCGCTGGTGGACTTCACCAGTTTCTGAAGGTTTATCTCCAGGCTGCACTGGTGGGCTGTGGAAAAACTTACACACAGTGGGATATTTTGAGCGCTGAATGCATTATGTGTACCTGGAATAGCATAAAATAAAGTTGAGGTGGAAAACACTGTCACATTGGATGAAGACACATAACATTTCTCATCTCATGGGATTGAAAAGTGAAAGGCTGTGAGTTTAGGTAAGAGACAGAGGACCATCTTCATCCACTGTCATGGACTGAGGTGTTCTAACAGTGAACCTGGCCTACTGCTTGCACAAAACACAATTCATTGGTCTTTCCTTTGCCTTCCACAGAACAAAACCTGTAGTAGAACTGAAGTAGAAAAAACAGTGTTTTAAAGTAGGTGGTTTTATTTTAAGTATTCCTTCCTACAAACCTTTTATCAAATTAATTAACTTTTGATTCGTCACATAGTTATATAACCAGCCACAGTCCTGTGTGCTAGTTCTCGTGGCAAAAGCCTTTTAAAATAATGAACCTCTTTTGAATGTTATTTTTGCTCTAAAATTTGAGTAGTTGTTTGGGAGTACGCATTATAATATTTACAAATTCACTTGTGCTACACACAAAAATTTAATCCTAATAAGGGAGGCTAGTAGTTGTACTGAGCTTAATAGGTTGCTTTCTAAGAGTGTATTTATTTGCATGACTAAGTCCTCATTGAATCCAGGGCTTATGGAGCAAGGACATATCTCATTAAAGAGATTTGTATCAGTAGTAAGAAGTTGAGATCTAGCTAGAATTTACTGTTTTGCACATTCTGTCTCAGAATTCATGGTGGGGTTTGTTATTTGGGGTTTTTTTAAGTGAAGGAAAACCTAAGTAATTCTTGATGGGTTTATTTTTCTGAGGCGTGGGGGGAGATTTAAGTCAGCACAGAGTGTGAAAGGATCTATTTGAGACAACTATATTCTATCTGCATTTTTTAAGAACTACATCTAAAACATAACAGTTTAGATCTTAGCATTAGATCTTTTCATGCTGCTGATTTCAGCAGAAATGCAGATCACGCTATATTTATTCTCCACAGATGACCGGTTCCATAATGAAGTAGAGGCACACACAACACTTGGCCATTATACAACATAAGGCCTGGGAGCCACTCTTGTCAAGCAGCTCTGACTGCCCAAAGAGCAAAAGAGCAAGGCAAGATCCAGCCCCTCATCAGGTGCCAGTATCACCATCAAGCTTGCAGAAAAAAAATAAAATATATAGTCTATATTTTTTCTAGGCACATGAAGCCCAACTTATCAGTTTTTCTCTGTTCCTCCAAACCGCAGGGCTCTACTGGTATAGAAATCACCTCCAGCAGAGACACTGAGGGAAAGCTTGTGAAGGGGTCATTCAGCTGGGTTTCCTTTCTGCTCAACTTTCAAACTGGAAATCTCTGCAAAATTCAGCATTTGATATGTCATAGCCCATGGAAGCTCTCACACTATAATTAAGCCGGCCTAATTGCATGCAGCAGTAAATGACCTTTTAAAAGCCTTTTTTCTAACATTAATTTCCATTTTTCATGGTCATTTACAACTATACTTACGATATCTTAATCCACAGTTACTAATGAAGCTCCAAAGTAGTAGCTTTCAAGTTCCTTTGGCTGAATGATTTTTAAGATAGATATTAATTTACACAGGCAATTCTTATAGGAAATGAAAATTAAAGAATGTTGTGTGGCATTCCATGCAGCATGAAGAAGATAGTTTAAGAAATGTGTAATTTTGCAAAAGGATTTCTTCTAATCCTTTCTACCTAAATGCAGCAATAATATAGAAGCAACTAACTTAAGTGTACTTTTTTTTAGGCAGCTAAGCATTTCCTATAAACCATAATGTTAATTGGATGAACATGTGCATTGAAATGTAAAGCTTCTTGAAGGATCATTATGGAAACAAGACACACAGGTGTACCTATACATTTAGCAGTATTCAAGACTGTATGGTCTGTTCAGGAAACGCTTCCTTGCTGTTTTTTTTCTTCTTTTTAAGCAGAGCATTATTATTATTATTACTATTATTATTGTTGTTGTTGTTGTTGTTGTTGTTATTATCTGACCATGTGCCAGCTATATGGGGTTATGTGGCTTGAATCAGATACCGCATTTCAAAATGGGTATGTGTACCAGGAAGTAATCTTACGTGTTCTGCCAATATGTTTAATTTGTATTACAAATTAAAGAATGCTTTAAACCTACAGAATTCTACCTAAGTGATTTTTCTCTCTTTTTTTAGGATAAGATGTCAGCTGAAAGGTGTGAGACTACAAAGTTCCCCAGTAAGAAAAAACACCATCAGGCAAATATCTGACAGTTTTAACACTGGAATTACCGAAAACTTTGGTTTAGCTGAAAAATCTTCAAATATCTATTAAGTTACAATGAAAATGTAAAGTTTGCTTGTCAAGTTTGCAGGTCAAATGTTTTTCTAATTTGTGCTTCCCCGAGTTTCTATACCAAAGTTATTCACATCACAGAAGCCCCCTGCATACTTTTCCTGATCCTATGGGCAGATCAGAAAATGAGACCATTGTGTAGGTACCCTTCATGTGTTGTTTGTTTTCTTATGTGTTAAAGATTGAACAAGGTCAGTATGGCATAAATAAGCAAAGAGCAGAAGTAGGCAATGTATTATCGCTAATGTTCAGTTTTCTTAGTCTGCCTCTAAATATGCAGAAAGTTAGCGGAGGGAGACAATCATCTGAAAATTCTCCATCTGACACTCATCTTGATTGTAAAGGACAAATTTTCAAAATTGAGTCAATAAATAATGAAACTGGGCTTTGACGCAAATACCTTTACAAAAAGCTATCACTTAAAATTTTCTTATAAGAGACAAAGCATAACACAGCCCAGGTGCCTTTCTCTTCATAAAACTAGCCTGAAGTTAGACCACTGTGTGTATATATACATATTTGCACACACATATATACATAGATATATGGAATATGAGCATATATGGAATATGAGCATGGATGTTTACTTCCTTACTGCATCAGATAATCATTTGTGCTTAAATAAAAAAAAAAAAAAAAACAACGCAAGGTCACTGGCAATTTAAGCTTCCCTAACACTTTTTTTCCCACTAAATCATATTAATGTACAGAGAGAAAAAAACTACCAAAATCAGGACTGATGCAGTAAATAAGCTGCAAATGAAATTTACTCAGGAGTAGGGAATGGCTGCTTATTCTTTATGAGGAATTTGCTTCTCTGAAATTTAATTTGTTGTTAAGCAAATAAAAACTTTTAACCAGAACAAGGTGAAGAAGGGAGAAATCTTTTTCTTCTTTTTAATGAACTTACCTGTTGCGTACAAGGGATGATGAAGATGGTGGGAACAAGGAGCCACCGCATGTTCCTGCACATTCAGAAGTGAAACTGAGAGATAGGGAACAGGCTGAGCTGTGTCAGAGGAAGCACTGAACACAAAGCTCTCCTCTGTCTCCCTTGCCAACCCTACTTTCCCCAGCACATGCACGAACACATACACGCATTCACACTTGAAATTCTCCACTTCATACAGAACCAGCTTCACACTGAAATTTCCAACTGATCTTCTTTTCTCTGCCCAGAGCTAGAATACAGATTTTCACACCCTGCTTGATCCCATCCAGCTGATTCAGCCAGACTTAACTGAGGTCGGGTGGGGTGACATCTGATTCTTGAAATCTTGCTGCTGGAAATGTAGTGTTATTATTGCCTTTAAATCCATATTACAAGAATTTCTGAAATCTGAAGGGCAGAACTCCAAATACATGCATTTTTTGAGACAGAGAAAGAAGAGTTTCTCGAAATTTCTGATCAATTGTGCCTAACAAATCATAGCATGAAAATTAACAGTCAATACATGCTTTCTAAATACGGAAAGATAAACTGCAGCATGTTATAATGCTACTGCATGTTCTGCACTACTTATTTCCATGGAATCCTACTGGGCAAGCCCAAACTATAATGTACTTTTCCCTGAAGTATGCACCTTGTCTTACGGTTGTGCCACCACTTAAAAACAATATTGTTCAAATCTTCAAATTTCCTCCCTCCTAATGCTATCAAGGTGATGTGCTTGATTTTTAAGCTAAAAGGTGGGAGTCTCCAGGATAACATAAAACCCCCAGCCCTGCAGCATTGGTGTTGGTGTTGCCCTGGTGAATGCTCCTCCTCTCCTTTGCATTTGTCCTTGCTTAGGCACCTCCTGTGAAGCCCAAGCGTTACTAGGGGAGGCTGCCAAAGACCACACTCACACAGCAGCCATGTGTTAACAGAGGCAGTGGTGGGAGTATGGAATCAAATCCAGAACAAAAAATTCTATTTTGCTCCCAGACTTGGAGGACCACATGCTCTCTGCATGCAGTTACAAATGCACCCTGAACTGCCCTTCCAAACTCTTGAGGAGTCAGCTGTAAGCCACTGAAAATCTGCTTTTCTTTGGCATGACCACTTTGTCACATAATTCATGATAAAGTCCATGCAGTACCTAGGTGACAAGCAGATGCTGCAGATCAGTTCATTTCAGTGATGTTTCTCTGCATGTGCAGCAGTGCAGATTGGGTCTGACTCAAGTCTTCCTTGCGTTTCCCATTAAAATCTTATGAACGTAGACCCAGGTTTCTCAAACATCTCTTCTGAATACTATCAAAACAGAGGTTTTTTCATAGAATCAGAAGATAATTGAGGCTGAAAGAGACCCAGGGGATCTCTAGTCCAATCCCTGCCCAAGCAGGGTCAGCGCTGAGATCAGACTAGGTTATTCAGGGCTCTGTCTATTTGGATCTGGAAAACCTCCAAGGGTGGAGGCTGCCAAATCTTTCCTGACAGCCTTTCAGAGCAATGCCAGCTGTCTGAGGAGGTTCCAGGTACAGTTTTCTCCTGCAACCCCAAAGACAACCCTTTCACTCTCCTGTCTGGAAGAAGTGAGGAAGGTCAGAGGACTAGCACATCCATTCTCGTCCTCCTAGGACTGCAAGGGTAGCACACAGCATTCATTTGTGCTGTTCCTCTTTGCATTGCAGAAATAAAACATGTGGCCAGTGTAGGACTGGGAATGCTCTGTGTGAGCTGGCAAAGACTGGTCTGATGTGGATAATGGTCCCCAGCCTTGGGAAACAGGAGACAGATGTTTCTGTAGGACTAACCTTTGGTTTTATATGGTGTGTTTTGTTGGAATTACCCAGATAACATGATATCTTGAGCTTTAGAGAGTGAGACTTTGAAACTATTTGAGTATAATTAAGCTGATTGACAGAAAATATGGGTTTGGAAGGAGTGGGAGGAATGGTCCTCCCTGAGGAAGACATTCTGATGATAGAACACATTAAAATGTGATTTTAGGTGTCTGGATGGTTGTTCATGTGTGCAAAGTAACCAGTGTACTTCAGCCCAAAAAGGGCCTCCTTCTAGGAACAGGGCCCCTGCTGGGACCATTCAGGTCTCCAAAGCAATAACATGCCTTCACTGCCTTTCCCTAAAAAATACATTAAATGGGACTGTCTGGACCTTACAGTACCTGCAGTACTGACCCCTGCATGTATAATAAGTAGCCATAAGACCACAAAGACAGCAGCACTAACTCCTATGCATAAATAGTGCACTGATGCTTTGACAGTATTAGGGTCAGTGTCTTTGCTAGTATTGGCTCTGATTTAAAGAAATGGAGGTTATATGCCCTTTTCCTCTCCTGAAGATCTTTAGTGATCCCCCACAACTTAAAAATTAATGTTTTTAATGCCATGGGCAGACTCAGCAGTAGTTTGTGTGTATGCATCCTTCTTGCCAAATCTTCCTTGCAGATTTGATTACATAAAGTATCATTCATTTCCTGAACTAAACCTGCTCTGCTGTGTGGTGCCATTCTAATACCACCCTGAATGGAAATGTAATTTAGCTGTATATTCAGTGACCTCTAAATACTACACATATTTCTTTGGTGCCAAAAAATCGTTTTCCTGTCTGTGAAATATACCATGTAAAGCCATTGTCTTAAGAGATGGAAAAGTATGAAATATAAACCCATAAATGAACATAATCATACATTCTAACTGGGTACAAAGTCTTAGACAAAATGCCAGAGGTATTTATTACTGATATTTGTATGGGCCAGGATTTTCAATACTCCCTACTGGCTTCAGTGGAATTATTGAGATAAAATCCATGAAAGCCAGGGTTGGGTTTGGTCATTCCTAATACTTGGGTTCCAGTACCAGACACACACCAAATCTGGGGAGTCACCTTTTGGCAGAAGGGTTTTAGCATATTGGCCTGCTTTGTTGCTCTTTGTGCATGTATATTACAAAGAGACTCCTCTGTTTCAGTCAGTCAAACCTACTGGCTGTGTCTCTTCATTCAGAAAAGAAACCAAACAGATGGGTAAAAAGAAATAGGCACATCATATGACAACATATTGCCCTTGGCTCACCCTGTCTCACATGCTGTTTGCTTACTCAGGCAGGCTTTGGAAAGAAGCTACCTTCTTCAAAACAACTGTGCTCCAAAAACACCAATGGGCTTCACTAAAAGGTCAGCTTTCTATTGCTGGCACCGAGGCACAGACATCTCCCTGCTGGGAGTGGCAGAGTTTGCTCCCAGGTAGCATGGACTGCCCCAGGTCCTGGGCTTAGCCAGGCTCAAAAGTGCAGTGAAGTTTCCAGGTGGATGCCTGAGGCCAGGAGCTGTGATGGTCTTTGAGAAGGAATCACCTGCCCAACACCTATGTGTTCTTGTGAGGTCCCTTCCTTCTTCGCTGGTCTGCTGCTCAGCTTCTGCAAATTTGAGTCATTTTTGCTCCTCCTCACATTGAATTTCAGACACAAGTTCCACTCAAAAATGCCCCATACCTCTCCTCCTGGAGTACCACCAACAACAGCACATTTCTCAATGAGCTGAGTAAGCAACTTCTCCCAGGCTGACAGGGGTCTTCCAGCGGGACAAAAATTCATCTTGTCCTGCATACCCACTTAAGCAAGGCCATGTGCAACACTGAGGTCACTGTTGGAAGCGTAGGAATGCTTTGTACAAGGGCAGCTACAATGAGTTCCTCACAGTGTGCTGCTGTTTCTATTTCAGCTGTCATCTACTTACAAACTAATTTATAAAGCTTCTCTGAGCTATAACAGGCTGCCTGATTTAGGAAGATATTTACATACAGGTTTAAAATTATAGGTCCCATTTTCAAAATCTTTTTTTCAAAAAACTTTCCCATTTATGCAGGTAGTTGTGTATATCCTAATTTCTTTCAACGGGCCACAAACACAGAAGAGTTGCCATAAAGTCTGTATTCCTAAGGACACAACTCTGAAGTGTTTCATCTTTCTTTGACTGTCAACCGTGTGCAACAAGGAATTCTCAGAATTGTTTAAGTTGAGTATTTTTCATCAAAGAGATTCTGAGTTTTTATGTTTCTGGTTAACAGATCATTTAAAAATACCTATACACACACTGGATCAGTCTGTGCTCTGCCTAGCTCTGTGAGACAGGCTCTATGCAATTAATCCAAAGAGGCACTGCCTGCAAAAAAAAAGAGGCCAAAGTGAAGGTGGAGACAGGAATAAAAATGGAGACAAATTGGGAACCCACCAAGCAAGGCAAAGAAGTGCAACTGTGCTGAGCTAACCTATTACATGCTGGAATTGACCCATTCTGCATACAGTGCAATGGCTCTGCTTTTTTTAGTGTGATGCTGAATTCACTGTAACAAAATAAACTCAGATCAGCCCAAACCGTATTTGTAAAGCAGCTTTTCTCTTCATAGACCAGTTCTTTGGGCACCCCAACACTGGCAGCTCCAGCCTCCCCTACCTTTCTCCCTCGCAGCTGACCTGCTTTGCAGAGAGCAGGCAGCCAGCTGTTCCTCAGGGAGAAGCGCTGTCAGGATAAATATTTGAGCAGGGCAGCCAATTCCGCATGTCAGGAGACATGTGAATGTCCACTGAGACTTATACAGTTCTCAAAGGGTTTCCATTGTTAGTTATAGGAGGAAATAGTAAAGCAGTTTCCCAAACTCCTGGGCTGTTTACACATCTAGCTTGTGTGCCAGATAAAAAACATTCCCAATGGAAATGAAAATAAGGTCCCAGCCAATGTCCTACCCAAACCATCCTTGAGGGTAAGGCATGGGAGAGAGACAGAAAAAGAGTTGTATTTTTCCCCAAACCACCCATTCGGGATTTTTTTAAATTTTATTTTATTCCCAGTACCTACTTTACTAACCTTTAAAAAAAAAATCCCACATAAATACTGGTGCTATCTCCAGATTTATTTTGGCACAAAGTCATCCAAAAGACAAACTCGTCTCCTTGGCCTACAGGAAAAGTATATGATGCTCTCTACAGACCCAGAGACACACACAAATTGTAGAGCACTGGCTTGATCTGGTGCCTATTTTTCATGGCAAGTGT